TTTTTCACAGAGTTTGGTAGTACATAAAAAAATAAATACCTTTTATTTAAAACTTTTTTCAATTTATCAACAGATGGCGCTGTAATTCAAAATTTAAGAAAAATGAGTTTCCTTGTAAAATGTATTATTTGAAACGTTTGAAAAACAAAAATTAACATTAACAACAATAGTCGGCTGTGAAAACAATTTATAACAAATGTTCGAAATGTCGTCATTCCATTTCAACACATTTTTGAATGCGGGTAATGAATTCTGGCACACAACTCGCCAACATATCGGGCGGTATCGCCGCACAGGCGTTCCTGATCCGCTCCACCATGTCCTTCCAAGTTGTAGGAATTGCAGCGTAAACTTTTTCTTTCAAGTAACCCCAATGGAAGAAGTCTGGTGGCATAAGATCAGGTGATCGAGCAGGCCAAATTACTGGACCACGTCTACCGATCCACCGCGCACATAGGTAGAATTCGGTCACTTAGGCGGCCAAAATTATTTTATTATCTCTTTTAGTAGGAGACATGACAAAAAATGTCTAATAGGTTAAACTAAATAGAAAAAGGTATTTTTACCAAGTTTTGTCGACATATTGGTTTACGTAGTAGAATTTTCACATTTTTTGAAATTTAAAAGTTGAACTCACTGGTTTTTTCTTAGACTAATAAGTTTTTTTATTGATCTACGGCACGTATTTTTAGATGAGTCCACGCTGAATTTAATCAAAATTGGATGAGTACTATGCAATTTACATTTTAAAACAAGTTAAACAAAAAGTAATTAGTCATAAATATGATTGAAAACATAATATAAACATAATATATAACACAAATTAAAACAATCATATTCTTAATAATAAATACTGATTAAAGTTACACATATAAAAATTAAAGTAATTTACGAGCCAAATGAAATGTCTTCGTCATCGCTTCCCATACATGTATCACAGGCTACCTCTATGTTCGGCTCTGCAGAAACCAAATTCGTAAAGTTTCCTGCGAAAACGACTTTGAAATTGTTTTCTTTTCTCAAAGAACTGATGAGAGGGTCGAGTGTTATAAGTAACCTGTGATATATGTCTAGATTGCATTCTTCAGGTGAAAATTTACGGCAAAGTTAAGGCGGTACGACCGGAAATGCGTATTCCGGGCTTCGGCAGCTTCTTCTGAAAACTGGCCAATAGGTAAAATGGCATTTTCGCAAATTATTGCCCCGTATTGTATGCATTGTGGGGCTCATACGGTGCCACCCATACAAATCCACGTACAGTTTTGCCGTTTCCATTGCATACTCATCAAACTTTTGGATGCCTCTAAAATTGTTTGGATTCTACAAATAAAATTTTAATTTAAAAATCGTTATCTAAAGGTGAAAATAAAAGTTTGTACGTGTCACGCTTTGCAATTAATCTTTACTAGGCTCACTGGATTATGGGGTTCGCTCCTGCATCGCTCACCCTACAAACTTCCAGCTCGCCCGTAAAGATTCATTTACAAAGCTTGACACGTAAATAACTATTATAAGATTTTTAACGTAAATTATAAATTTCTTGATTTCTGCCCAAATTACTTTCAAGTGGAATTTTTCGCAAAGTGGACCAAAGTGGACCGTAATTTTTTCTCAGTTTTTAGCTAAATAAATTATTTATCAATTACAAAAAGAAAAAATACTCGGACGGGCCTGGAAAGGTAACATTTTTACTTTTGAAACGAAAAAAAGTATAAAAAGTATGTTAAAAAAGGGTATATCTTTAATGGGCTATAATTATGCGAAATATTGACATTTATTATAGTATTTCTTTAAGAATTATAAGTAACATACCTGAATTGTCAATATCCATCACATTCACTTAATAATTGAGCTTTCATTCACTAAAAAATGACTTTGTAAAATAGTGTTTGTAAGGGTGTCGAGAACGAGTTTAAGCAGCTTGCGCGACGGTCAAGTTGCGACTGATTATTGGGAACGCACATGTTCTGCTGGGACCGTGAAAGGGGTCGTCTATTGTTCTTTGGACTTTCTATTTTTCACGTAAGGGATTAGTTTTCTTATTAATTAACTTTGAAATAAACCCTTTTTGTCTCCCTAAATCCCCGAATTCTACCTATGTGCCGCGGTGCACCGGCCATTGAACTCCCGATCCAACACCTCTCGAGCAATTGTCGAATAATCTGCAGGACAACCATCTTGCTGGTACCACATGTTTTGGAGCCGTGCTAGTGGTACATCCTCCAAAAGGTCCGTCCGATCGTTTTCTAGAAAATTCCGGTACTTTTCGCCATTTAATGCACCGTCAATAAAGAAGGGTCCGATTAATCGTTCGCTTAAGGTACCGCACCAAACGTTTACCGACCAGGGACGCTGGTGCTCCACTTGGTGAAATGGAAGGACGACATTTCGAACATTTGTTATAAATTGTTTTCAGAGCCGACTATTGTTGATTTAGTGTTAATTTTTGTTTTTCAAACGTTTCAAATAATACATTTTACAAGGAAACCCCTTTTTCTTAAATTTTGAATTACAGCGCCATCTGTTGATAAATTGAAAAAAACTTTCAAATAAAAGTTATTCATTTTTTTATGTACTACCAAACTCTAGTTAAAAGAAACACCCTGTATATTAACATATTATATAAATCGTGGGCGTACAAGGAAAATCGGCTAAGTCCACTTTTGCTATAATCGCGAAAATTGAAACCATTAAGCCCGTATAGTTACTATACTTCCTATATAAACACCATATAAGTCCTAACGCGCATATTAAGGGGTCTGTAACTATGTGTATTTTGACTAAGTCCATATTTCTGTAATACTTAACATTAAGAATCCACTAAGTACATTTAGTAAATTTTTGATATATTTTACAGCATATTATTAAGTCCAAATTTATATTGAAAATTAACAGGAAAAATACTTTAAGTCCTAATATTTATAACAAAATTATAAATAAAATCATTCATTTAAATAAGTTTTTCATTTAGTCATCAATAATTACATTTAATTAGATAAAAAATCTATATTAATGTAATTTAAAATACAAAAATCGATTTTATGCATTCAGGTTAGTTTTAAAATGTGTTTTACTCAAAACTATAAATTGTACACTAATTAATAATAATTAATAATTGTATTATGAACGCTTTCATCATATATTTTTTATCTATAAAATATATATTTTAAATTATTTTCGGTGTATGCATCAACGACTTATACAAGTTCAAAGAGCAAAACAAACTTTTCCGTAAGAAAATTCGATCACAAAGCTGACTATAGAGTTGATATAGAGAGCTGAAATTTTTAGGGAACTTGTTTGATGAATTTGAAAGCGTCTCTAAGATTTTAAAATAACGGACACTATATACTGGGTGTCCCTAAACTGGCGAGCTAACGCCATATCATACTATATTATTGTATACATGTATGTACCAAGTCAGTAAAATAATTCTTTATTGAATACAAAATAAAACTACTTATTATTGTTTATTATATTAAACGTAAAAGAACACCCTGACGCATTATAAAAAATGATTTCTGAGGTCGAAGGAGTTTGAATCGAAAATGCTTAAGATTATTATCTTTGTTGATAATTTGTAGATAAATCTTTAGCAGAATTATCATTTTATTTTTTATTTTATTTTTATTTTATTATTTTTAATGTGCTTTCAACAGGCAACAGGCCCAATTACAGAAATACACAATGACAAACACAAATAAACAACCATACCCCTGGTGGGATTCGAACCCACGACCTCTCAGCTTGTAGTCCGCAGTGCTAACTACTACACCACCGAGGGCACTTATGTTTTCAGTTTAATATCTACCTAAAATCATCCTTGCGATTTTGGTTTTATTAAGCACAGATTCCTCTAAATCTTTAGCAGAATTATCATTAGTGACACTTATGTTTTCAGTTTAATATCTACCTAAAATCATCCTTGCGATTTTGGTTTTATTAAGCACAGATTCCTCAACATAGAAAATGGTTTTGCTTTTCCATTCCCCGTGGAGCAAAGAGAGTAGGGGACATTCGACGAAAAAAATTGTTTAGTATATAGTGATGGTTCCAATAAATGCAGATAGTTAGCAATTTTGCTTGGTATACTTTCAAAAGTATGTATTCCAACTGGAACTGTGCATTGGCCATTTCTATATAAGGAAAAATTGGTTGTGGCGTATGTTTAGAGCTAAATATTTGTTAAAGAATGTTATGGATTTTAATTTTCCTTCAAACTCTAAAGTAATTCCAAACAATCGAGGCCTATTCTTTTTTTTAAGTCATATTAATAACTTAAATTGTTTCTTTGTGCTCTATGTCACTTAATTTTGTATTCAAAAGTTCTTCATTACATAACTCCCCAGCAAAGCAAAACACAACACAAATCTACATTCATATCAAATTGGTTTTGGAAAGTTTGCATAAATACCCTTTATCAATAAATAGTCTGGTGCATCTACTAAAAATTTAAGTATTTCTTGGTCTTTTGGAATATGATTTATTCTTTTTATTTTAAAAACCTTTATGTATATAATTGACAACTACTTATATTTTATACAAAAGAAGTATTTTGAATCTATTTTATTTCCAGTTTACAAACAATAATGAATTCTTAAGGCTATTGAATGAATTATAATTAACATCATTTAATGGTATTTTTTAAGAACTCGAATAAGAATTATTGTTTGTTAACTGAAAATAAAATAGATTAAATAGATTAAAGTACCTACTTCTTGTATATAAAAAAATAAGTAGTTGTCAATCATATGCATAAGGGTGAGTCGAAAAATCTGATAATAATTATTAAAGTATTTATTTTAATTCGAGGTAAAATCATAAAAAAGGCAGAAAATGTTTACCTTAATCCCCTTTAACCAAATATTTAGTTGGGATTATTTCACTTAATCTACCTAAAAGTATGTTATTATAGCATTATTTACCTTGGTTTACTATATAAAAATATTATTCTCCACAAATTATTATATTCTTTTAATCATTCATACAAAGCAATCAAAATGAAAACCAAATCCATCATTTTGACCAAAGAAACCATCGAAAAGAATAAAATTAAAAAACAAATCCAAAGAATCAGGGAAGAAAACAAGGAACTTATGAAATCTATCCAATATGTAAAACTAATGATAAACTCTGTTAATGAAGACAACAAATCAAAACTACTAAATAGTGTTTACAGAATATTTGCAGATAATAAAAAAGTTCTCAGGTATTTGGGAATTAATATTGAAAATAACATTTGCATAACAACTGATTCCAAGTCAACAAGTTCTGGTTATGTAAGCGCTTCAGATGACTTTGAAGAGTCTAAAAGTAAAACTGTGGCGAATGATACTAACAGTCATTGGAAGAAGACGATTATTAAAAGATACATTATTAATTAAAATGCATTGTAATATTATATAATTGACATATCGTACTAAATTATGTATTAATAATTTATTTTAGTTTTATTAGGAATTAGAAAAATAGTTACTAACAACAAAAATCTCTATTTTAAAGTAGTACCTACATTAAAATATTTTTTTAATTTTGACCTTAATAAAAGAGGTATAACCATCTAAATTAAAAATGTAACACCGGTTTTTATTAAAATATTAAAATTAAACACCTACATTTTGCACTTTATTGCTAACCCCTTTATATTAATTAGGTATATATATTAATGATAATTACTAATCATAACTTTGTATTGTTAACAATACAATGTTTTCTATCATTTTATGTATATATATATATATATACAGGGTTTTCATTTTAAAACGAACCACCTTAAATATCTTTTAAATTAAAAAAATTTTAAAAAATCCAAAAAATACGTCGAGTTATATAAGAAGGGGGAACTTCTATCACATTATTTAATTTAATCTAGTGCTCACCCCCTCGCGCCCACCCACCCCCACTTTAAAATTTCAAATGGCACCCCCCTACAAATGACACCTCATTTTGAAGAGCATAAAATTCTCTATCCAATGGTGTGAAAAAATAGTAAATCGGATGGCTATTTAACCTTCATTAGACATCGTTAATTTTCCTGAAATAGAAGACACCCTGGGGTCAGACAGACCCTACATATTTTTAGAGAATATATGGAGCCTAAAAATATTTAAGAAAAAAGTAGGTATCAAATAACATCTTAAACAAATACACAACAATTTTTTTTAGTTGCTTATCTATTGTGCAATAGGAATGTACTTGCAAAAGTTATATATAAATTTGTCCCATATTTCCCTAACCGGAGCTAGTTTATCGTTGGTCCTCCGCTCTTGTCTGGTTTCTTTGTCGTCGAATCGAAGACAAGATGACAAAAATTTTAATCTGTTTTGGGACATTGCTGCTCTATTGCTATATTTATTTGATCACAATTCATCAGTGCTTGATTTTGATGATTTTCTTACACCAGATAAAGACTCTTAGAAGGCTGTTCTTCTTGCATGTCTTCATCACTCTGCTCACTTTCTGACCCCTCTTGTTCTTCCAAATAGTCGGAATCTTCTCTGTGTCATCGTCACCAAAAATATTTTCCTCAGTATCTTCTTCTAACAAGATTTTATTAATTTGTTAACGGAAAAAAAAACTTGAGGCTTAAGCGCCGCCTCTTATCCCAAGAACTGCTGGCTTCATCCATAATGATTTTTTTAAACCAAAATACAATTCAGCAATAACTAATAGTTAGTAAAACTAAATAAACTACTCACATAATTAAAATATTCAAAAAATTAAAGATCTTTTGTAATGACAAATAAATAACGTTAAAGACACCTTGGTGTCAGGCGGACCCCGCACAAACTTTAACTGACAGTTGAAAGCCTACTAATTCAAATATCAACTAACGCTGCAGGCTATATATGGCCAACATGGTAACTTAAATTTACACGAAAGGGCAGCACAACTTAGCGATTTATATAAAATCTTTTTAAAGTTGTATAAAGTCAGGGGTATATCTGACCCCACGGTGTCTTACGAAGGTTAAGGATCTGGAAGATAAAATGTGTGCTGATAAGATAAAATAATAAGGTAAAAACAATATTGTTTTTAGGTATCTTTTTGTGAAAAAGATACCTAAAAACTAGATTAAATTAAATAATTTGATAGAAGTTCCCCCTTCTTATATAACTCGACGTATTTTTTTGATTTTTTTAAATTCTTTTAATTTAAAAGATATTTAAGGTGGTTCGTTTTAAAATGAAAACCCTGTATATATATTTAAATGGGATCTCGAAACCAGAAAATAAAAGCGTAAAAACGCACAGGGATCGGGCATCGATTGGCTCCATTCGGATCCGCTAAGTAAATAACTGATAGGTAAAAAGTCTCACAAATTTTTTTCTATCATTGGTACATCGCACGGTGGGCCTGGCCAAAAGTACAAAAAGTAAAAAAAAATAATACACCAATGTAAAGAAAAAACCTTCATTTGTAAAATTCCGATAGATAAAGTTAAAAAACATTTTATTTAAAAAAGAGACAGCTGTTTAAAGTGAAGCAATACGGAAAAAATTCAGATTTTAGATTTCAACGGAATTTTCTCTATCTTTAAGGCGCTGTTACTTCTTATACATAACAAAAATATGTAAAAAAATATGGTTTAAATTAAAGATGTATGTAATACGATGTTGAATGTGTGGTACAATTATTTTAATAAATGTACTAATAAAGTTATGTTGAATAATATAATACCTTGTAAAATCATAAAATTTTACACTTAACTATAGATAAGTTATGCGGTCCAATTTGGTCCAGAAAAATGTTTACACCAAATTGTAGCCCAAAGAATAACAAATAAGGCTATATATGGTTATCGATATATCTTTTGACCCCTAAGAAAGTTATAGCGGTTTATAAAAGGCCGCGCGCTAAGAATTTTGTTAAATATTGTTAAACAGCTATAGATTGCGCTCTTTTTAAAGCGCGCTTATCAATTGTTAATTTTTTAATATTACAAATAAAATTATTTAATAATAAATTTTGTTATAAACATTTTCTTTGTTTCAAATAAATTATTAGTTTCCTAAAACAAATCATGTAACTATTTGTAATCCTGTACATTGTTCTACCAGAGGTAAAAATAGTGATGAACCAAATGATAAACATTTCAGGTAATGTACCTTTGTTGGTATATGTTTTTAGGTATAATTTTTTATATATATATATATATATATATATATATATATATATATATATATATATGTATATATATTACATCATAAAATCAAACTAAATTTATATTCAATCATTATTAGTGTTGTCAGTGATTTACCGAGCTTAATATGGAAGAAATTAAATATTTACATTTAGTCAATTTAATATTTAAAAATGATTACGGTAACAAAGAATTACTTCAGTTTATAAAAGAAAAATACAAACGTAATCAAGAAGATGAAGACAAAACGAACTTGAGATTAAAAACGTTTACTAGTCATGTTAAGGATCGCAAAGTACAACAAGAAAAAATGTATTATAGAATATGAGAGTTGGTTGGAAAATACTTTTTTTATATCCAAAGAAACTGAAAATACACCAAAGAAACAATGCACTGAAAGACCTAGCAAGCCATTTATGGAATCTAGTGAGAGGTCAAAAAGACGCAAATCTTTGAAAATAAGGGAAAGTATTGGTATTGATGGAGTTAATTTTGTGTATAAAAATACATTAAATAGTATACTATAGTAATGAAAATTTACCGTCTACCAGCGAATTAAGAGAAATTCCACTATCAGATGACGAAGCACTGGCATTACTTCTGGATTTAAATTTGTCCAAAGCAGGCTACATGAAATTACGGAAAATTGCAAAATTGCATAATTCAAATTTATTTCCTTCGTATGAGCACATTAAAAAATCCAAGAATGAATGTTATCCCGGTGATATAACTACAACCGAAATGGGTTCTGAAATAGGTCTGCAATCACTTTTAGATCACACTTCAAAACGTTTGCTGGAATCTGTTGAATATGATGCCAATTTCGGTAATAGGGATCTGGAATTAATGGTTAAATGGGGTTGTGATGGAGCATCCGGACAAGGTGAATATAAACAAAAATTTTTAAGCTCTTCTACTGCGACCGATTCTAGCGTATTTATGATTTCAATGGTACCAATATTACTAAAGAATGAAGTGAATACGAAGGTTTGGGAGAACCCTCAACCTTCATCTACGAAGTATTGTAGGCCCATCAACTTCGAATACATAAAAGAGTCTTCAGAAGTAATAACAAGAGAGGTGGAAAAAGTTAATGCACAGATTGGCAAGTTAATTCCAACTATATATAAAAAATGTAACATAAAGTACACGATGCTTTCCACAATGCTGGATGGAAAAGTTGGACAAGTTCTTACTAGTACCCCCTTTATTGCAAACCTGCATCAATTGTGGAGCAACACCCAAATAAATGAATAATTTGGACCTTATTAAAGCAAAATCTTTAAGAATAGATTCCTTTAAGTATGGATTATCGAGTCTCCATGCTTGGATTCGTTTTATGGAGTGCATTATTCATATTGCCTATAATATATCTTTTAAGTGTTGGTCTGCGAGAACTGATAAACAAAAGGAATTAAAACAAAAAAAACGCATACAGGAGGAATTCCGCCAAGAAATGGGATTGTTAATAGATTTTCCCAAACAAGGGAGTGGAAATTCTAATGATGGGAATACGGCAAGAAGATTTTTTCAAGATTCAGTAAAGTCTTCTAAAATAACTGGAATTTACTACGATTTAATAAAAAGGTTCTCCATTATATTACAAACTTTGGCATGTGGAGAATATATTAACATTGAAAAGTTTAAAGAATATTCACGGAAAACAGCTGAATTATATGTATCCTTATATCCTTGGTATTACATGCCCGCTTCCGTGCATAGAATTCTTATGCACGGATCGGATATAATAAACAACTTTTCTCTTCCGATAGGGCAGTTGTCGGAAGAGGCACAGGAAGCAAGGAATAAGGATTACAAAAAAATAAGAGAATTTCATACAAGTAAATTTGACCGAAAATCCACAAATGAGGATTTAATGCATATGCTCCTAACAACATCGGATCCAATGATAACCGGAAAAAGGAGTTATATACAAACTAAACATAAGCCCCTGGACGAAGAAGCATTGGATTTATTATTAAGTGAAGATATGTAATAAAATCATTTAAATATTATAAAATATATATTAAGGGCAGAGTAATTGTTTTTCAAAAAAATATAATAAAAAAATCAAGTTTCGCGCCATATCAAAATATCCAATAGACATAAACCATTTTTGTTTTTTTCACTGAAAAGCCTATTTATTTCTGAATAAAACGAATAAAAAAACAAGGCTTTACGTTTATTAATAAGACAAAATGAATATTTTTCTACAAAGTGTAATAAAAAAATGTAATTTTTTAAGTTTAACGCCTTATAAAACAAAACATAATAAACATAAATTATGTTTGTCGATACTAATATAAAGCTTATTTATTTCTGAATAAAATGAAAAAAAAACAAGGCTTTAGGTCAATTATTAAAGTCACAAATTAGTTTTGACCAGAAAAGTAGCATTCCAACCCACCGTGCATCGGTAGTTTATTATTTAAGTGCTAATTAATATAAATTGTACACGAAAAATACACACCTAATTAATATCCTATTTCATTTTGAATATTTGCATGTCCTAAACAAAATAATACTAAGATTTAATAATTAAAATTTAAAAATGTATTTATAACTTAAAACAATTTAGTTATAACTTAAAACATTTGAACATGAACTATTTTACTTTTTTAGGATAAACAGAATATTCGGAAGCAAACAATATTTAGTACAGTACTTCTTTTTCGACCGGAACGAATGAATGGTATTTTTTTGACTCTGGAACTCCTTTTGCAGCACTAAATCGCTGTTTTAAAAATTCAGCTGCTACAATATGCTAAATTCTACAATTGAAGTAACCTTTTAAAATTTAAGTAAACCTTAAATTTTAGTAAACTTAAAATTTAAGTAAACTTGCCTTGCCTAGTCAAATTAAAAATTAATAAAATTCATACATTATTTATCATACTTTCACAGAAAAAACACTAGCATAGCATGAATGGGTGAGCCATTAAACCAATGGGATCTTGTAATCCGTATTCCTGAATAACAGTTCCTATAATACCAATAGGTAGTTAGCACTTGGTTTATAATCGTTTACTGTTTTTAAATTAACAACAAAAGTTATCGCTCCTAAATCTATTGATATTCATATTGATATTTATTTGTTAGAATGGTAGAATGTTATTGCATTAAATACTAATTTGATTTATATAATAACGTTACTATTGTATGTATACTATGTATACATTTAACGCAATAAATTCTTTGACATTTAGGCAAAATATTTCCCTCTTTTGGTATAAAAGTAATTAATTGAGCAAATAACAATTTAGATTACTTCAATTTTAATGCATTCAATGACAGCGCTGTTCTTGGTACTATGTTAGATTTTTTTCTGTGTTAAATAGGATTAAATTACCGGTATTGTAAAGATAATGAAGATCTGATCTCATATTAAAAATATCATGAAAAATTTTGGATAATATTTCGTTGGTTTAAAAAAAGACCTTCACAAGTCAAAATTGCAATTTTTTGCTTTTGGCTGCTGCTGCCTGACTCTGGTGGAGCCATACTTATACTATAAGATGTTAATGTTAAAAAATAGACTAATAATTAATGTAATTTATTAAAATTGTTTTTATAGGAGGTTAAACTTTTTAATGTTAAAGTTTCAATTTTGATATATGACAGTCTTCTTGGATTTGGATACTTCTTTTAAATAAAATTAATTTAAAATTACAATTTAGTAATATATCTATATTTTTAATAAATAAAGCAAAAAAATAAGTTCTTAAACACCATAATAAATAAAACATTAATTTTTTATGGTAATAAAATTATTTAGTTTCAGTGTTTTCACCAATCATTTTGTTTTAATACTGGGATACACAATTATCCATGTTTAATAATAAAGTCAATTGAAGGTGGATATTGGCATTAGCGCGGAATTGCGCGCATTATTCCATACCGCAGCACTTTGGCCTACGTAATGTAAATGTTAAGTGCTTCCACAAACGTACGGTATGACCTATTCAGTCAATTTTTCACGTCTGTTTGGTAACAATAATGTATGTTATTTGTGCTTTACTGATACAAATTCGGATGGTGTTTTAAATTTAATTATTATACCAAATGTTTCAGAATAACTTTTCAAAATTCTTTGATCTTTTTAAATAAAATTATATTTTTTTCTTAATACTTATATGTTATTAGCAAGGACCGGATTTTAGGCAAAATGCCTTTTCGTTTCTATTTCAGGCATTTGTTTCGGACCTTGATGTTAATCCTAAACTTAAAAAAATAAAGCGTTCGACACCCCTTTGTTTTTGCCTAAAAGCCTAAAATGGCGAAATTTTGATTTAGGGTCCTAAAAGGAAATTTTTATAAGCCTAAATGTAGGTAAATGTACCAATGCCTGACACTGCCCCAAAAGCTGACAATCTTACACATAATTCCCAAAAAATAAGAAAACCGGTAGGTTGAGATCTAATGTCGATACTGTAGAGGCATCTTTAATTAATTTTAAGTATTTTAATATTTACATTATTTTATAAAAAAGGAAACTGTATTTTTGACAGTTCTTTTAAACGGCGCCATTTGGGGTAGTATCAACGGTTTCTCAATTGTTAGGTGTTTCGTTAAGAAAGTGGTAATATTTAAAAGCGCAAATTACCGTCCAAGTTTATATGTTTATATTAAAGGTAAATATTTATTTTTAACTTAAGTATTAGTATATTTTTAACATAATTATTATGTTTTTGTCGATATTTACGATATTTTAAGGTTATATTTAATAATGTCAGGTACTGGGACCCTCAAAATTAATTTTTCTAAAAGCTGACAAGTTATCAGGCACTGGTTCAATACTTCAGTATTATAATGCTCCAGTAGCTGACAATATTGGTTTTAAAAGTTTTGGAATCATTTCTTTTAAAAAATAAAAATTATATAATTATATATTTTATTTATTTGTTTATTTTAGAAAAAAATGGACAAAAAAATACTTACATATTCAGAAGAATCGATGAAAATGGCTCTTCAGGCGGTAAAAAAATGGCATGAATCTATCAATGGCCAGCAAGCAATATGAAGTTCCTCGTACTACCTTATACTACAAGCATATTAAAAAATATCCGGAAGAAATAAAAATGGGTCCCTCAACTTACCTCACAAGTAAAGAAGAGAATGGTCTGGTCCAATGGCTTCTGCACATGGCAAAAAATGGTTTTCCAATTAATAAGGAGTACTTATTGGATAGTGTACAGCTTATAGTGAAACAGTTAAAAAGAGAAACCCCCTTCGCCAATGGTAGACCTGGTCGACATTGGTATACCCTTTTTCTGAAAAGGCACACTGAAATAAGTGAAAGAGTATCTCAAAACTTAACATCCAGTCGATCAAATGTATCGGAAAAAAATATTCGGTTATGGTTTCAAGAAGTTAAAAATTATTTTGAAGAAAACAACTATTTAGAAATTACAAACGACCCAAATCGCGTTTTCAATACAGATGAAACAGCTTTTTTTTTTGAGCCCACAAGCGGGAAAAGTACTCGCCAGAAAGGGAGATAAAACTATTTACAATCGAGTCAGTGCATCACAACACTAATCACCGGAAATGCAGCAGGTGCTTTGGCACCCCCAATGGTCGTCTTTTCATATGAAAGGATTCCAGCCCCCCTCGCAGCTTCTGTTCCCTCGTCCTGGGCAATAGGTAAAAGTGAAAGCGGCTGGATGACTAGCGAAACTTTCTTTATGTACATATCAAATACATTTCATACGTGGTTACGGGAAAATAATATTAAGTTTCCTGTTGTACTTTTTGTGGATGGTCATTCATTGCACCTGACATTACCACTAAGCGAATTTTGCGATGCTAATGGGATAATACTTGTATCATTATACCCTAACTCAACACATATCCTGCAACCTATGGACGTTGCTGTTTTCCATCCTCTCAAAATACGTTGGAAAGATGTCATAATGAAGTGGAGAATAAGTCACAATGCGGAGAAACAAAGAAAAGAACAGTTTTCACCACTGAAGGAAGCTCTGGATAAAACAATTACTGAAAAAATGTTAGCCAATGGCTTTAGGACGTGCGGGCTTTGTCCTTTTAACAGTGATGCAATAAACTACAAAAAATTTAAAAATAACACAGAGGAAGAAAGAGAAGGGGCACAGGCTGGAACAAAAGATCAAGTTACTAAAAACAACTTTTGCCTGGAGCTCAATCAAAGAATTGGGAAGGAAAAATTCTTACTCTTTCAGTCATATGCTGATATAAATAAATATCCAGGTAATATAAAGGATACTTCATTGTTTGAGTTATGGAGAGATGTAAATGGTTTTAAAAAAGCTACAAATAATGTAGAAATAGAGATGTGTTGGAACCTCCAGAAGACATAAATATTATGGATGAGGAACTTCCGAACATTTCAAAATCCACCATAAATAATGATAGTTATATATTCGAAGCAAACTGGGTAAATGATATTTTAGATACGTATGATGAAATTAATGAATCAGTTGACTACATGAAAAATAATGATACTGATAAAAAAATTAACATTTTGTCTGATATTACAATAATGCCTTCTGTTGGCATTAAAGAAAGTTCAGTTAAAAATGAGTTAGAGCCAGCAATAGAAAATTTAAATGAATCACAAAAAGGTTTTGATAAAGGAATACTCAAGAATGAGAGAAACAGCAACAGCCTGCCTTTGCCCGAAAATGCTACAAATATGTTTGAAAATACTACAAATATGTTTGAAAATACTACCTTAGAAAACAGCCAACTTTTAATCGAAAATGCTGCAATTATGACAAAGACTGATGATGAAAATAATCGACTTTTGATAGAAAATAATGCAATTACGACGAAAACTGATATGGAGCATACTACCCCAAAAAACAGACAAATTCTAACAGAAAATGCTGCTAATATAGCAAAGATTGAATTTGGAAATACTACTCCAGAAAACAAACCACTTTTAAGGGAAAACATTGCAAGTCTGGAGAAGATTGATATACCTGATGGAGTACCTACACCATTTAAAACCTTATTGCATTGGCCTGAGACTCCCAGAACGGACATTAAAAAAAGGTAAAACTTAAGTTGCCCCCTGTAGCATCTTCTGAGCAGTGGCAAGAGTACCATAGACATCTGGCAGAAAAGAATCAAGATTTAGAAAACGCCAAGCTTGAACGAAAAAGAAAACGAGAAAAAAAGTTACAAGAAAAAAATTTAAAGAAAAAAACAGTTAAGAAACCAAACAAAAAAAAAGCAGATGCAATAAATACCGAAAAATCTTTAGATTTAAATATAAATCTTGACAAAGATAAATATGATAACTGCGCAAACTATGAAAAAAATGCTATGTGATAGTTTGTTATGAAAATCAGTACTATCCTGGACAAGTGTTAGAGGTTTGTCCCAAAAAATTGTTTGTAAGCGTCATGGAAAAAAGTGGATTAAATTACTGGAGGTGGCCAAGCCTACCAGATACTTTATGTATGAGAGGACATAATTAGAAAAATTTATCAGCCAAAAAAAATAAACAATAGGGGGTCTTTTGCTGTGGAGGAGATGAAAGACTTTTTAGACTTCACAAGCTAATTTTTTTACTTAGTGTAAATTTTTAATAATAAATTATTTTTTTTTATTTAGTTAAATTTTTAATAATAAATTATTTTTAATAAAATACAATTTTAATCTTTTATTAAACGGCACGAAGAACTTATTTCCATATTTTTCAGATGTCAGCTATAGGGTCTTTACTTGTCAGCTATTGGAAAAATTACTATTTTCTTATATCAGCTACTGGTACATTTGCAAATGGCCAAAGAATATGTTAAAATATTTTTTTATTTATATTATAAACAAAATAAAAATATTTTCCTTTTAATAGAACATATATGCGGCAAACACAAACATAAATGACGCCTCCTTTTTCTATAGGCTTGTAATAACTTAATTAATAAAGTGATAAAGTGATCATTCTCTTATAGTGTCAGGCATTGGTACATTTTCTTTATTTTACGTATTATATCTATTAAATGAAAATTTATTACAAAACAACAAAAACAGAATTTTATACAAAGCGAAAATTAAAATACAGAAATATATATATATATATATTGCATATATATTTCGTCCACTAGTGGGACCAAACGTTTAAGCAGAGTTTCCAATTTTTATGACACCATTCTAAAATATATATTTTAAATAGCGTTCCAGAAAATATTACCAACACTTTACAAGTAAATATTAAAAAAAATATTGCAAAAGTTAGGAGTAAGTAAGAGGGAGTATATTTTGCAAAAGAAAAGTCTAGCCATCCTTGTTAGGTTGCAAACTCCATTAGAGCCAACATATTAAAAACATAGCATCCATAGTATAGGTAAATATTGCTTTGCTTTACAATCATTACTAACTTAGTAAATGTTAATGCGTGCATTAACAGCATTCAATTCATACGTTCAATTAAAAAGAAGGTATGGAATTATAGTTTGAATATATTCACCGGATGTAAATAGAATTTTTTTTACAAAAAACATGTTCTCGAAGCATTTTTAAATTAGGTCAACTTGATTCCTGTAAATATTATTTTATTAATTTTAAAATTTTTACCATTTATTGTATTTTTATTTATAAAACCATTTTATTTCAGTGGCGGCTGGTGGATTTTGGGTATGCCGATATCTCAATTATTAGATATGGGACCGTCACCAAATTTATATGAGTTCTGCGCAAGCAGAATTTAAATTGAAGTTTGCGAAAAAAAGTTAATTTTTTGCTCGGCCGTACCGGCCCCATGGCAGTTCCTTTGCTATAGCAAATATCCTCAATTATACTCAATAAAAATAAAAATATATTTTTATTTTTATTGAGTATAATTGAGGATATTATATAACCAGTATACAGTGTGTCCCCGGATCGGATTTCCGACAGGGAAAACTTTTTTAGACCTGATACAGCTAAACCGAGCACGGATTTGGAATCTACGACCAACAATTATGTTTACGTGTGCGAGCGTTTAGCTGTGATATTTCAAGAGTTGAAAATTTACCTACAGTGTAATGAGATCACAGAATATAGTAATGAGATTTTTAACGATTTTTAGTTCAAAAAGTATCCCAATAGTAGCGCAGTGCGTGTTCTAAAAAAAGTAGGAGCTAAACAGTGTTAAAAATGCGAGAAGACGCAAAATCTGGCAACACTGCAGTGTATAATGGTCGTATGCGGCTATAGCCTTCTTTGGAACAGCTGGAGCAGAAATCTTAGTGTGTCTGCTTCTGTTCTGTGTTCGTTTGTGATTGTGTTTGTACGAATTAACGAAATATGGCGTTGGTCCGCCATTTTAGCGACTCCCTGTATAGCAGTCTGATTTTTCTTAGAAACTACTTTACTTTGGAACTATTGACAATTTTATACTACATTTGTTCTATTCAGAAAATAAATAATAACACGAAACCTAAACATTTTGAAGAATGAAGAATTTAGAATAAGCAGTGTAGATAAACATAAAATAATAAATCAATTCTTCTTATAAGAAAAATTTGAGCTCTTAATATTAATTTTAAAAGGTCCATCATCGAATTTAAAGTTTTCCCATTGATTTAACATGGAAAAATAGTTTTTTAAGATTTATTTCGCCTGCATGCTATGTAGAACTTTTTTTATATAAACAATCACTGGTCCCTTTTTAGCATTAAATTATCTACAAAAAATCTTACAGAGTCCAGTTTGTAATATTAATTTTAAAAGGTCCATCATCGAATTTAAAATTTTCCCATTGATTTAACAAGAAAAAATAGTTTTTTAAGATTTATTTCGCCTGCATACTATGTACAACTTTCTTTTTTGATAAGCAACCACTGGTCCTTTATTAACCTTAAATTATCTACAAAAATCTTACTGAGTCCAGTCTGTAGATTCAACTGTTTCTTTTTTATTAACGTTGAAACGTATAAATTCTAAACAAATTTGATATTTTTACATTTAGCGGCTAAACTACTAATCGTAGAAAAAGAAGTCAATTAGCAATTTTGAAGATCTTTTAATGTTCTACAAATTCAATTCGTTCTGAACAATTTTTTTTTATCACCTACAGTTCAAAGTTATAAGTGTCTAAAATCCTATTTTCATGATTATGCATAACGACAGCCATTTTGGTGCAGGGTAGGCAATTTTTTTTAGGGTAATTTGAGTACGCCGAATCCAAAAATGACCATCATTTTGCTCAATCAGCTCTTGTTTTTGCGATGTAGACAAAAAATATATATATGCGCACATTCAAATGCTTATAAGCAAATAGATTTATAAATCTATTTTTTTAAACTTATAATTTAAGCAAGGATAGTTGGTAATATTGCTAAGGCGTCTTTATTAAACTGAAAAAAAATACCATATTCTCTTTAAAAACCTTGCTTTCATCGAAAGAAAATCGGATATTTTTAAAATTTAAAGTGATACAGCATGATCAATTTTTGCCCGATTTAAATAAAATTTACCCTATTTGTAGCTCTATTTATCTACTTTATTGTGTTAAAATTTCAATGCAATATCGAAAAAAATGTTTTTTAGTCTACATCGCAAAAACATGAGATGATTGAGCAAAATGATGTTCATTTTTGGATTCAGCGTACCTAAATTACCATTAAAAAGTTGTTGGTTGCTACGCACCATAAACCTTAAAAATTATTTTTAGTATTTCAAAACTGTTTTAAAGCGAAGTATAAAATTTTATTTACAGTCAAAAGCTGGATCATGAAATTAAGAATATCATAAAAGTTACGCTATTTTACCGATTAATTGAGTGTATTGAAGAATCTTGATACGTTATTTATAGAGCTTCGAGTTTCCTGCAAAATTGTCCCTAAACGTTTTTCCTACAGTGAATATTATAATAATATATAATGCAGAATAATAAAAATAATATTTTAGACACTTATAACTTTTGAACTGTAGGTGATAATAAAAATTTTTTTAGGACAAATTTGTAGAGCATTAAAACATCTCAATGTAAGATTTTTTGTAGATAATTTAATGCTAAAAAAGGACCAGTGATTGTTTAAAAAAAAAGGTTCTATATAGCATGCAGGTGAAATAAATCTTAAACAACTATTTTTCTGTGGTAAATCAATGGGAAAACTTTAAATTCGATGATGGACCTTTTAAAATTAATATTAAGAGCTCATTTTGACAGAATTTTTTTTTAGCATGAGTGACGAGAATTTCACATGAATTTAAAAAAAGAAAAATATTGCCTTATTTTGAAACACCCTAATATATAATATAATATTTTCCTGAAATTTTACAGTTTTATTACAATTTTATGTTTTTTATGTTTCATTAAGTTATTTAAGAAATATTTCTGGGAGGCAGACATTTTGACATTAATACAATATTTCTGCAACATTTCCTGAAACATAACATTTGTTACAAAGAAACATTTCAGAAATATTATGTGCTATCTGGAAAGGGGTGATTAAAACTGCACAAGGACTCACCAAAAAAGTTACAATTATTTAATTTATTAATTGTCTATAGTAGGGATGCACCGGAATTCCGGCGGTACCACTAAATCCGGCCGATCCGGCCAGTTGGCCGGAACTACCGTTCCGGCCGGATCGCTCCAGCCAGATCGCTTTCCAGATATATTTTGTAATTGGTCAACAGAGAAGGGTGTGCGTGTTTCCTTGCTGTGGTTCCCCGACTTCTTTTTAATTTTTTTATTATTGGCAGGTGGCTGCTATTCTCCAATTGAATGAGTAGAATTGTTTTAATTTTGTTAACGCTAATTAAAAATTAATATTTAAATAAACAGTAATTTCTATCTAGGTAAAATTAATAGTAATAAACACTCTGCATACTGTAGCTAATTTTAAAAAAAGTAAAAATAAATCAGCCTCAATATTTTTAATGTTTTACATATAAAAATAGGCATGCACATACATTTTAAATTTAGGTCCCGATCCGGCCGGAATTCTGGCGATCCGGTCCAGCCAGCGGCCTAAATTCCGGTTCCGGCCGGATCGGCAAAATACCCGATCCGGTGCATCCCTAGTCTATAGACATATCATTAACAATCCTTGCCACACGAGC